CAACATTTACTAGTTAATATAATTTTTGTGAAATTAACAAAAAAAATCCGAAAAGTAGGTAAAAGTATAGAAGCAATAAGTATTTGTACGATTCTTATGACTAAACTGCGGATCTTTATGCAAAATAAAATCTTCGCGAACGTGCCTACAAAAATTGGACCTAAATAGGAATTCATTTTATTCTGCAAATATTACAACCTGAACGTTACTTTCTAGCTTTTTTATATTCTTGCATATTGTTTGCATTTTGTAATTTCTTGCGCGTTCAAATTTGCTATAAATGCATAATGATCCGCGGTCTATTTATGACGAACCATTTGCAGTAGAGTTTGTAACGTAAACACATTAGTTTATTGCTCCGTACGAATTAGAAAACATCAAATTTCCAGGAAAGTATACTTTTAAAAATAGCTTTAATAGAGGAATTGAAGAAGATCCCACTTCGAATAACTAATAATTTAGTTTATTTAACGCTTACAAGAGTTGCAATAATTATAAAATCAAAACGAAATCCCACGAAGGAAGTATTATATACTTTTACATTAATGTTTTCTTTTTTTTTAAATCAAGTTTTAAAAATTAAACAGTTGTGCAAATAATTATTGCTTCAATACTTCTATCGATTAATTATTTCTTTTTTGTTAATTTCGTAACTTCTAGTTTACAAAATAAAAAAGAATGTACATTCAAGGCCACAATTTTTTTTCTTACGTATTTTGACCTGCAAAACTCGAAAATCGCAATGAAAAATGTTTCTATGGATAGGTTTATTTTATATGAATTTTTGAATTTTTTTCGATTTTTTTCTGATATACCTTCACATTTTAGGCCATATCTCGAGTTAGAAACGTCCTATTGCGTCGCGCAAGATGCTATATTAAAGATAATCAAATTTCCAACCATTGCATTTTCCATTATTTTCCAATTGGTTCAATAATTTATGTGTTACGGACCAATGTACATACCATCTGATCAAATTTGACCCGGACTAGTCCATTTAAATCGCTCGCCTAAACTGAATGGGTAAAATATTTTTTTTCTAGTTTGGTATAACCTTCTTTGACATTCGTGTGAAGTCCAAAGATTGTCTGGCGATTTTTGCTATGGAAAAAAAAAATGGAACAACGAGTTTGCTTGAAACTTTATGTTTCCAATGGAATTACGGCTACGCAGTCTTTAAAAATGTTACAAAAGTGTTATGGGGAGTCTACCCTATCGAGAACTCAAGTATTTGAGTAGCATAAAGCATTCAGTGAGGGTCGTGAAGTCGTAGAAAACTTGCCTCATGCGAGTCGTTCATCCACGTCTGTTAATGACGATAATATTGAAAAAGTGAAGGAAATCGTACTTGGAAATCATCGGGTTGGCATTAGAGAGATAGCAGAGGCTTTCAACATTTCTTATGGATCGACTCAACTCATTGTGGTTAATGTTTTGGGTATGAAGCGCGATGCCGCCAGACTCGTACCGAAAGATTTGAATTTTCTAGCATTCTAGCCTGATTGTGACTAAATTTTCAGCCAAACACGAAACAAAAGTCATTGCTTAGCCACCGTACTCGCTAGATTTAGCTCCCTGTGACTTTTTTCTGTTTTCGAAACTCAAATATCCGCTTCGGGGAACACGCCATGAATCGATTGAGGCCATAAAAAGAAATTCGCTGAAGGAACTAAAGGCCATCCCGGTCGAGGCCTATAAGAAGTGTATGGAAAATTGGATTAACCGTTGGCATGCTTGTATTGGCTCAAAAGGTGCCTATTTTGAAGGCGATAATAAAGATTTGTATTAAAATACATAAAAATGTTGTTTTTTTTAACTAGTCCGGGTTAAATTTGATCAGATGGTATATGGGAAACTGCGATTATTTCGGTTAAAATAGAACACGAAAATTTCTTCAATCGTCATGCAAAAATAGAAACTGTCAAATTATGTCCAGTTTCTTATTGTTTACGCATAAATCGCACATTTACGATGAAAACAAGCTTTTGTTTAATAAAATCTATGGATAAATACCGGAGTTAGGAACAATTGAGTAAAGGTACAAAAATTACTCTGTTTAGTTAATATATTTTATTTTACCATTATTATTGTACTCTCCGAAATTAGATAAAAACAGTATAAATTCAAAGGAGAATTTAATACTTCGAACTCCTTTTACCTTCGCGACAACGTCGACTCTTCTTAAACAACTTTCCTATAATTTTTTAATTATTCCATTCGGAATGCTTTACCACTTGATTTGTGATATCTCAAATAGTTCATCTGCACATTTGGCTCTCCTTTTCTTTGAGCCCTGTCCAAATAATCGCAGGAATGTTCAATAATATTTAACCCGGGACTTCCAAGAGGCCAACTTATAAATTTCAATGTTTCAATCTCCTTTGAATCTTGTAAATAATTGTTCGCAATTATATTGTATATAAAGCGTATATAAAGTGTAAATAAATGTACACATAGATTTATTTAAGCGTAATGCAAGCTCACATGGTGGCTTAAAACTTTTACACAATAGTATATTTTACAAAATAATAAGATTAAAAATTATTATTGAAATTACATTCTGAGGTTAGTTTTAAAGAAAATAAAAATGATAAAATTGAACGCAACACATTTGTCAAGATTAAAACGAAACTGTGTCTTACAAATTGATATTTTATTTAAGTCTCTTCTTTGTTGCAGAATTCATATCCAAAAAGGAATAAACAGTCGTCAAAATGCTACAATACCGCAGGATTCATCGTCGATTCTACGATTCGTTGCTTACAAAGTGGAGTCTCTGGTTTTATTTTCATGTCGCATAATAAACTAGGCATGATCACCTTGACAGAAATGCAGACAGTCGCGAGTTATTTTCCTCTATTTCGACTAGTCTCATGGTTGCGCTTCTATCTTATGGCCACGGTGTAACAGCATTCAATTAAAGTATTCTTATTTGTAGTATTCAATTAAATAACACCTGAATTTTACGACTAACGAACGGGGTACGGTTGCATCGAATGAGAAAGTTTGTTTGATCATTCAATTTTATTTGTCATCTGTAATTTCCAAAACACTTTGTAATAAGAAGATGAAGTAGTTAATTGTAAAACCTATGGCAAGAACATAAGTTTTTATAAAATTTAAATCATAACATTTCCAGGTCTCTTTCTTATTTTTGTTTCTATGGATTAACCATTTGTTTCTCTAAAATTTTCAAAGAATTTTGATACTGTGAAATAAACTATTTCAAATAACAACATTCTTTCAAACAGTCTCGTAGCCAAGTCAACTTTGTCCGTTTCAAACAAACTTGATTCGGTCCTCGAAAGGCCCTCGCTAAATTTCCAGTCTTAGGCAGAAAATAAGTATAAAAAGGAGAATGAGGGGGGTCAGAGTTAGAACTCGTCTCGTTGAAGAATTCGGGAGTTGATGGTGCCAGGTATGTCCAGAAACCTGGAGAGTCCTAAAAATAAGACACTTTAGGGAACGGCGATGATTAGCCTTGAACTTGCGAACGCTCGATTTATCGACCTGTTTACACGTTGGAAAAAAAACGACAAAAATAGAGAAAACTAAAACGAAAACTTCGGAGGGGCCTTTCGAACTTTGAAAAGAAAAAACTCCGGGGACCATTAACGCAGCGTTTCTCAAACTTGTGTCTGCATATCTCTCAAGAGGGGAGTTCTCTTAAAAGTAACTTTTTGAACGTACAATTTCAATTTTACTAATATCAGAATACAGCTGATTATTAATTGAAATAATACGTCGAGTCATGAATGTTCGTAGATGTTTTTTGTTTCACAGAAATTTATTATAAAACTGGATTTAATTCTGTAGAAAAATGTCTCGAGCGTAAAGGGTTACAATTATTTATTCTAATTATTTCGCAAAGGGGGCAGAACCCCCTTGTGGTTGTGCAACATATTTTATTATGTTGTTTCCATAAAATGAAATTTAATTCAATTTCATTCGTTCTCTGTTTCTTTTTTCTTCGAATGGAACCTCAAGATACATTTTGTTTGTTGGACTCGCGAGGTTGTAACACGCCACTGAGAAAAGATGAGACGAATCGGTGGAAGGAAGACGGAACTCGTCGACAGAATGTTAGACACGATGGATATTCAAATGCGTGAACGTAAATGACAAGATTAATTGTTTCCTTCTACGCTCTCCGAATTACTACCAAGAAGAGCTCCAGTTCAACGGGCGACAGAGTTCTGTGATAAAAAGGATTATTCACGTGGTGTTTGAGGTTCATTGGCATCGGGAAGTCAAATGTTTCGATACAGGTTTTATGAGTTATTCGTACCTAGAACCAGTTAAAGCGTTATAGCTAAACGGAATGTATAATTAAGTTTTTAGTAGACGTCGCAGCTTGACACACGTGTGACAGACCGAGTTGATGGAGAATATGATACGTTGGTCCTTTTAGTTGGTCCTTTTCTTGCCGCTTTACGATTGAACATTTCCGATCGATCTGTATATAGTAGTATTAGGGTCTCCCAAAAAAGGTTACGCAACTTCAATCATCGTTGCTTCCTGGTTATCGTCGAACCGCTCAGCCAAATATATTATTGAAGTGACATCTGATTAATGAAATGTAATGGTTTATTTTCATTAACATTAATAATGTACAGAATATTTTATAATAATTGTGTTTTGAAACAATGTTTACTGTTTTGCACTTTAATTATACTCGACGAATTAAGGTTTCAACCTAGTATTTCGTCCACTTTTCTTTACTTTTTCTTAATGATTCTAATCTACGAGCCATACTGTCAATTAAATTTGTGATTATTTGTGGCTCAATATTGTACCATTCCTGTTGTGTTCTTTCCCACAATTCATGAACAACTGAAGGTGGATTATTATATTTTGCCAGGCTTCTGTCAGTTTGTATTTGTGACATTTGTCATTCTTAACATGTATAACCCGTCAGTTTGTATTTGTGACATTTGGACGTTGCAAATTGAATAATTATTTTAAAGGCTACGTGTAGTGATATTGTATTGGGAAGTATATGGTTATAAGTAATGAAATATCTACCTTGTCGTTGTGGAAAGAAATATATGGTGTTTGAGTGTGCAGTTCGTAATACAAATTACAGTAAATGTTCATTTTGTGCAAATAAGAAACATTGTGCAAAGAGAATAAGTGTCCTAATACAATAAATTGTGTCTTATAAATAGTGGACCACTTTTTTTATTTTCACTTCATCATAAACATTTAAATTTGTTACAAGACTTTCTGCCATGCGTTCTGTGTATGTATGAACTGTATTCTAATACAATAAATTGTGCGTTAGAAATAGTGGATCTCTTTATTCATTTCTCACTTTATCTTTAATAAATTTCTTCCACTTAGACTTCCAGCAATGCGTTCTATGTACTTTTGAAACCTTAAAGGATTCAAACTGATCTCCCATTTTCTATATTATTCTAATCACTTTTTCGATAATAACTCTTTTCCAATCTTCGGTTGTCCATTCTTTATAGGTGTCAACAAACTGTTTTCGTAGCTTAATATTTTTGTTTGAGAGAGCTGGTTTACGTTTATGGAAAAGGGCACAGTGATTAGAATCCCATGAACTTTATTTCTGCAAAAATTCAAATTTTTCAGCGTGTGACAATTGTCGAACTTTCTTTGTTAGTGTTAACTTTATAGATCATGAATGTTATTCGATTTAAATAACACAATTTTTCTGTAAAAACGTACACAAATTAAATGTTACAAATAATTTATGACATCCTTTTTATGTTAAACTAACGCAAATAATGTGTAATAAATTCAAGACTCGCTAAATATAAATTCTGAGAATTTAGTCAACCGTTGTTTTCTGTCAATATTCAGATAACATTAAACATATGTTACGCTTACAACTTTTCACTATTTTAACACAAAACTTTTGTTGATATCAGATAACACATTCAACTTTAGTTAAACTTAAACTCAAATTGGTAAAATAATCGAGACAAAACATTTAACCAATGGATCTTTATAGGCAAGAATACGAGATTTTCAACTATGTAGAAGCAAATTCATCATTCGAGATACTTTATAGTCGAACAATGTAACTTTAATTAAACACGTCTTCCAAATTTTGGGCTGACTTCAAGAAGCATTTCGCGATGCATTTTTCCAGTTGTGCTACTCGTTTACTTTTTCAGTTAGCCTAATATTTATTAACCGACTTTGAAGAGGAGGAGGTTACTCAATTCGACATGTATATATGTATATTTTTTTTTTTTGTTATGTTACTCGATTACGTCCAGACGGCTTAACCAATCGGGATGAAACTTCTTGCATCTTGTAAAGCATGTCTCGGGGGTGGTTCCATTGTTTAAAAATTTTGGAATTTCTCACTTTATACCCGTTTTTTTTTTTCAAAAAACTGAAAACTTTTGTATTGCTTCTTATTCCGAAACGAATTGACCAATCGGATTGAATCTTCTCGCATCTGATAGAGCTTCGTTGCCTCTTAAACGCTTAAAAAGACATTTGACCTACTTCCATTTTTTACCACTTTATTGCACTTTTTATCGGAAATTGTACTATTTCACGTGTGTTCGGCCTGAATTCGATGACATCGATGAAACCCTCTACATTTTGCTGCCGGACTCGTTATCGAGCTGATCACTTTGCAAAAATTTGTCTTTTTGTTTATATCTATTGTTATTGCAAAATTTCTATTTTTTTCTTATTCTTTATAACTATTGTTATTTTCATATTGTTTATAACTATTGTTATTGCAAAATTCCTATTTTTTTCTTATTGTTTATAACTACTGTTATTGCAAAATTCTTATTTTTTTTTCTTGGTTCATTAATTAATTCCGATTCCGATTCCGATTATCTAATTCCATATTGCTATAACTTTCCAGCATTCCTGATAATCTCATTTGCAACTATATAGTGTCCCAAAAATGTTAGATTTCCTTGAATGGGGTGTTTCCTTTATATTAAATTATGTTAAATAATCTTTTCGTAGTCGGCGCAAAATTAAAAATTACTTACATTAAAAATAACCAAATTTGGTTTAACTTTCTGTCGTTGGAACAAAGCCTTTAACTTGTCCTATGCCCTTAACTTATTGCTATCATCGTATCTACTTTAGACATCATATACATTAACACTTTTCACCATCGACGCCTCCACCAAAAACTATTCAAAATCTATTCAAACAGTACTTTCACGTAGACATTTATTGTCTGGCTGAACTATTTGTTGGACAGTACCTCGGCTATACGGCCATACACGACCATACGACAAACAGGCGCCTAATAACTGATTATTAGTACCAGTGACCACTGGTAGGGTTTTTTATTCTAACGAACCCTCACACAGCCGACCAGGAAAGAGAATGGAAAGGCAAGTCATCTCCATTGTTACATTTCATCGAGGCAAGTACTTGGAAACCACGTAAAACTCTAGTCTTGAGCAATTCTAAGGAGTTTTGCTTTTGGTCCTCTTTTTCTAGGGAAGTCTATAGCCATCAACAAGCCCAGGGGACCGACCTGGACGTTCTCGTAGACAGTATACATGTATACATTAAAAGCATTCAACATTGTCGCCTTCACCAAAAACTAACTCAAGCAGGAATTAAAAATTTGTAATTTTGCACCGACTACGAAAAGAGTATTTAACATAATTTAATATAAATGAAATAGAAATTATTTCATACTTTTTAGTGCAATTTTAATAATTTTTCGAAGTCGGTTATATTTTTAGTCCAAAAATTATTTTATTCCAGTAAGATTCATCGCGAGACACCCTGACCCAATCCGTTTAGAATCATTAGTGCATCTTCTCCTGGAGATCTTAGATAATTTAACATTTAACAACGGATCCGTACATGAAAAAGCTATTAACATCATAGCAATACATAATTCCGAGGAGGCAAGATTGAAATGATCTCTCGTTTAAAAACCATGTATATTCTGGGTGTTAACCCGAGAGGTTCGATAATTTATGCAACACCTTGGAAAGTCACGAGATCCTTGGGAAAGTCGCGTGTACCATTCGTCAATTGAAATAACGATACTCGAGCACTCGCACGAAGGCCGAGTGTAATTATGTCATCCACGAATTAAAAAATTAATATGCCTGCAGACCTTAACGCCAACAAAATCTATTCGATTCTTCAAATTCTGGATGTTTTTTTGCAAAACTTGTTTAAAATAGTAAATAATAATCCTTCGATGAAATAACAAAGAGAAAGTGTAAAATCATTGTTAATTTTTATTTGCAATAAAGTTCAATCAATAGAGGGTTTGGACACTTTTTTCGAGTAACATTCTTGTAGTCTTCGGTAGTATTTCAACGTATCCCAAAGGATTTTTAAAAATGTTAAAAGTCGTCTGTTTTACAACTGTTTAAAGTTTCGTGCTATCTTTATTTTAATTAATTGGAATAAATGAACTAGTAAACGGATAAAAATAAAATGTTAGATGGGTAACAATGGAGACATAGGAGTAGCAAATGAAAATTGTTTCAATTAAAAAAACAGAATGTATTAACCATTTTATCTTCAATCGTTTTACATAAATGCGATTTTTCAATGGTTGCCCACTATTTAAAAAATTGAGAAAACAATTAGAATATAGCAAACTACAATCACGCTTATTCTAAAAACAAGACATTTGTTTAAAACAATTAACAAACGAATGGTTAACAAAATTTTTGTTTGGCTGAAATCATTTTTATTTGATATTTTAGTGTATTTACTCTACGCCCACGAAAGTTTATTCTCATTCGTTAGTTAGTTCAATAGTTATAATATGTTAGAAAACAGATTAAAACAGATAGACAAAACTTTAAACAGTTGTGAAACCGACAAGTTTCAAAATTAAAAAATCCTTCGAGGTACGTTCAAATACCACTGAAAACTACAAATTTCATAAAAATCCAAGATGTTACTCAAAAAAGTGCCCGAATCCTCGTGGAATTACCCAAAGTGTAATTGTGTCCCACAAGAGTAATAAAAAAAATTGTATATTTCTTCAACTCTTAAACGCTTTGCATATTTTTATATATTCAGTAAAAAGTTTCATGCATTAATCCGTATTATTTTTTTTATATCGCGTATACTTATTTCTTTTTTTAAAAAATTAAAAGTATCGATGTTTTGAGAACACATATGTTCAATATTGCATTCAATATCAACGTAGTTAAAATTTTCTTTTGGTCATGTTGATTGAAACTCAGTTGCTAACGGAATGAGAAAAGCATTAATTGTGAAAGTGGTATATATCCACGGGCATGAATATTCATGTGTTTCCTTAATAACAATGTTACCTTCCTACCTTTTTTTTTTTTTTAGCGTGGTGGAGGGAAACTCCTATTTATGACATCAGCAAAATATAACGGCACGATGAATTTATTTCCACACATTTCGTCTGTATCAAAAAATGATGAACATGTAGAAATCATAGGGCAAAACGCAGATTAAAGGGCTTGGAACATCAAAAAATGAAAAAAAATCACTTAAAAAAAATTTTTTTTATTAAAATATAAGCGATTCTGAACAATTGTACGCAAATAAAGTTGAATTTGGAGCACTAGAAGTGATAACAAAATTTTTTGGGAAAAAAAATGGAATTTTTTTTTACAAAATTTCTTTTTCTCTCACAAAAGAAGTTAGTAAAACGAACGCGATAAAATTGTAAAAAATATACGGAAATACAACTGACAAACTTCTTGAAGTGAAAACAATGACAGTCAAATTTACGGAAGACCGGTGATGCGGTTATCTTGGTTACAACCATAGAGTATTGTTTTTCAGGGTAAAGAAGGCGGTAAAATATCACAAAGGCAGTGTTTTAATCGATTTTCATAAAAATAAATACAATTAGATAATATTTATATCGATAATCCAGCGAGACATACAAATTTTTAGTTTTTTGCGTCTCCTGAAAACCTAGGTTTTTGGTATAAAGGTACACTTTTCTCAGAAACAATTTGTTCGATATGATCCAAATTTTTTACACGTGTTTTTTGATAGTTCGACCTAACTTACACCGAGGATTTTTTCAATATTTTGATTAAAAAAAAAGTTACCGCCGCGCAAACCTATAAATTTGTTTTTTACTTTACACATTTTTAAAAAATTATTCATTTGGAATTTCCAAAAAAATCGTCGGTTTAAACTAGGCACAACTATCAGAAAACACGTGTAAAAAATTTGGTTCATATAGGCCTAACCATTTCTGAGGAAAGTGTACCTTTGTATCAAAAACATAGGTTTCCAAGAGACGCAAAGAACTAGAAATTTCTATTTCCCGTTCGATTACCGATACAATTGTTATCAAATCGTATTTAATTTGATCAAAATCGATTAAAACACTGCTTTTTCGGAAATTTTACTATTCTTCTTTACCCTAGAAAACAATACCCTATGGCTGTGACCAAGGTAACCGTGTCTCCGGTCTTCCGCAAATTTGACTGTCGTTGTTTTCTCTTCGAGAAAGTTGTCAGTTGTATTTCCTTATTTATTTTGACAGTTTTATCGCGTTCTTTTTACTAAGTTCGTGTTGTCGAACGTTTTTTGTAAGGAAAAAAGAAATTTTGTAAAAAAATTGATCTTCTCTTCTTTTTTTTTTCAAAATTTTGTTTACCATTTTGATGCTCCAACTTCAATTTTCCTTGTGCAGAATTGTTCAGAATCGCTTAAATTTTAATAAAAAAAAAGAAAAGAAAAGTGATTTTTTTTTCATTTTTTGATGTTCCAAGCCTCTTAATTTAGTTGTTC